ACCTATGTATATATTCATCTGTTACCTAGTAACTTCAAACTACTTGTCAGAATTCGATATAATTATGACATGTCATTAGAAACGTAACACGTTACATTTACCTACTTACCATACCTGCACTTCGAGAACGTGTGACTACGCCTTTCAGTATTCTGAAAATCTTGTTTTATACTTTGTCAGCGTCGCTTTTTTCGTCAGTTGGGTTTTTATATTTTATACATTTTATTAATTAGCATTTTACAGCAGACGGTTCTAGAATCCGTACATACATGCTGCAGTGACCATCAGCAATCTGTTATACAGTCTATAGTCTTCCACAGCAATACATTATTACAATTTATTTATAATATTAATCAATTTGATTCACATTTATTACATAAACAAAAAACAAAGTTAACAATGCAGTTAAAATGCATACATCATGTTCTGGTACAACCGCAAATATAAGTTGGTTTTTAATTACCTTATAAGTTTTATTTCAATTATTATTTTTTATTTCAAATTATTGTATTGTCATCGGTTCTTGACCCCTATGCAAATTTCCATGTTAATCAGACTCTTAGAAGTAGGTCAAAATTAAGTTCTAAGATTCCGTTACATACATACATACATACATACATACATACAGGTGAAGCTAATAAAAGCGTGTTAAAAAATCAAGCAATTGGGGCTAAAGAGTCAAAAGACTATCAATGGAAACATTTAAACGTCAATAAAAATATGAATTCAAGTTCGATGGGATTTTAATGCTTTTGCTCTGTCATTTAAGAGTAGCTAATGATGATAACAAGTCCTCATCAAGTCTATTGTACCATATGACGGGAAGTGACTAGGCGTTACGTAATTCTAATTTAAATACGGTCAAGTAACGTGTGGAATGCTTTAGACGTAACTCGCAAGACTAGAATAGAAAAAACTATGTAGTAAGTATTGGGTTTTTATACCGCAAAAGGGAAGGTAGCGACACAGATAATAAGAATAATTATATTTTCTTTTCTTATGGAATCAAATACGATCGATGTTTTGAATTAACGTGTCACGTCACTATTTAGAACGTTTTAGATAGAGCGGTGATATATTGACCTCCACTTCCAAATTTAAATTATCTTTATCAAAGTATTGTTTTGTGTTATACGACAAAATAAAAAAAAAAACCTGTTATATATTTTAACATTATACTTACAACTTGAAAAACTCGAAAATTTGAAATCTATTCAGTCCGTTCAGGACTGAATAGATTTCAAATTTTCGCATCCTGTCATCAACGCTATTTACTCGTCGCATATGGAATTTTTAATCGCATAAAAACCCAATTTGATTTTAATAATCGTGAATATTTCGACTCCGTACAAATACAGAAAATTTGAACGTCGTTGAAAGAATAAAATGCAACACACATATTATTATGATACCTAGGTATACATAATTATGATGCATTACGTGACAATACCAAAACTGACTTGAAAACCAATACATTTCACAAACACAAGGTAAATTCACATTCATAAAAGCGAAATATATCGTTCATTGACTCATGATTGGCGTTCGTAAACAAGAAAGGAAGTGGATGTCATATGACTGCGCTCGCGCATAGAAAGTGTTTACCCGCGACCTTGGTACGGTCACGGGGAAAAATACCTACTAAACGGAAATATTCTAAATAAGATGCTGTAAATAGATTTAATTACCCTAATGTTTTGTTTATTAAAAGGACATGATGGATATCTATACTTATATTAAAAAATAAAATAAAATATTTGATTGTTTGTTTGTTTGAATCGAATAGGTTACGAAACTACTTGACCGATTTCAGAAATTGATGATGAAAAAAAAAAGATTTCTTTCACTGTGTGGTAGGTATTTGATTAACTTATTGTGATAAATTATTATCTTAAAATTAAGTGCTGCGAAACTAAATGTATGTACAAAAGCAAGTATAGGTTCAACTACCTACCTACACAGTTGATCGCAATGCAAATATTCTTATCAGCTGATAAGAGACTTCCTCTCACAATTCAGTGTTTACAAAACATTATTTGCATTCGAGAAGACACAAACATGTGTTAGGTATTATAACATCTGTATTTATGTTCATGCTAATTTGACATTTAGCTAGAGCGCATACGATTTAAATTTCGATTAGCAGTGGAGGAAATAGACTGAAATGAATGATAAGAAGTCAAAATAATAGCTAATATCTCGCTCTAAAGAGGCAAACATAGGTTTCTGACTACGTAGCTTCTGCCAGCCACTTCGCGCGCCTTATTCGGACGATAAGAAGCATGTGTTATTCTAGTCCCTGTCTGAGACAGTTTCCATAAAATTACAGTATGTAGTTTTTACGTGAAAAACGAACAATCTGCCTAATATAAAATGCAAAAAAAACACAATAATGCCTTCACCACGCCCAACAAACTAATTTAGAATAACAAGTAAACAATGAAAAGAATTCAAATGTAACGGCTCATTAGACGAGGCAGTGAAAGGCAAAAACAAAGAGTGTAGCAAAAACAAGCGAGGCTAAACAACAACCTAACACAACACAATAACCTATGACACAACTCAAATAGTTACTGTATCGATCGATAACAGCTCTAATTTATAGCTAATTAGAGTTTAGTAATTGCCTAAATAATTTACCTTGTTAACAGTTTACATTAGTATAAAATTATTCAATTGTCACAATTAAAACTTGACCGCGAAAAGTGTTGCAAACAGATAAAAAATATAGCAGTGTTTTTTTTTTTATTTGTCATTTTAAATATCAGAAATTAAAGATTATTTAAAGCCGAGTAACTATCCTTAGATTACAACGGAACTAACAAAATTTCATATATTCATAGTTAAATTCCCTGAGACGTATGTAACAACATCGGAAAATACCAACCCCTAATTTTCAGGCATGTACATCTAGACAAAACACAATCTATTTTCTAGTAACTACAACATAGTTACAACTAACACACAATTTTAATATTATTTCAGTAATGCGAAGCCCAAATGAAATTACATTGATATTAAATCCATACATGACAACTGTACAGACATCATGTTCACATAATTTCTGTATTCTCACAAGAAAAAAGCATAGTATATTAGTCTTTGGAACGAGCAAATAGCTTCACTAGAGGAGAGACGGACAGACTGACACGCTTAATTTTAAAGCTCTTGTTATATACTTTTTTCCTTTTTTGCTTGCTTGACATTCAAAAGTGCCTACTGTGGTCTAATTGAAATAAATGATTTTTGACTTTTGACTTTTTGACATATGAAGTATTGTCAGAAACATCACAATATTGTAGGATTCCTATAGTCTAAAAAGGAAGACATTAATGAATAGCACTAGTTAAACATTAATCAATGGATGCGAGTTGCCTAGGGTGATGTTAGATCAATAGTTTAAAAAAAAAACACTAACTATGAATCTAGAATCAAAACTTTAAAATAAGTATGTAAACAAACATGGGTTGGATTGAAATCCTAATTGCCAAACATTTCAAATGTGGCACACTTTGAAGGCACTTTAATTACTAATTAAAAAAATAACATGCAGTTTAAGCATGCCCCATTGGAAGTATGTAGAACACGCAAATTAAAAGGCCTTCCACGACAAGAGACAAGAGGGCGAGAAAGAGGGATGCAGCTATAAAAGTTGTATAGCTCCATCCCTCTTTCTCGTCCAGAAGATTGACACTATAACACATCATGGTAGGCCTACAGGTAAAGCAATTGGAACTATTAACAGAAATTTAATTTATACTTTCAGGAAAATCCAATTTTACTCTCTAATTACTGCTGAAATAAAGCTTGGATTTACCTCATAATTATCTGGTTCAATGCCTAATAAAATATTTTCCTTTAGTGGACATTTCTCATTTCAAGAAAATCTATTTTATTCATTTTTAATTTATACACATACACAATAAATTTTACTGATTAGAGTTTTATTTAAAGATTCTTTTTTTATAAAACTCTAAATTTGAAGTTTTATAAACTTCAAATTTACTAATAAATGGAATGATCATTCCTTTAGTGGACATTTCTCATTTCAAGAAAATCTATTTTATTCATTTTTAATTTATACACATACACAATAAATTTTACTGATTAGAGTTTTATTTAAAGATTCTTTTTATATAAAACTCTAAATTTGAAGTTTTATAAACTTCAAATTTACTAATAAATGGAATGATCATTCCTTTAGTGGACATTTCTCATTTCAAGAAAATCTATTTTATTCATTTTTAATTTATACACATACACAATATATTTTACTGATTAGAGTTTTATTTAAAGATTCTTTTTATATAAAACTCTAAATAATAAATGGAATGATCATTTGTCCAAGAAATTATCATTATTTGTAATTTTTCGGTTAATTATAAAGCACTTAATATGACTATTAAGGCACTCTGCTATGACCAAATAAAATTCCTAAAACCATAATGAAATGACATTTAATTACTTAGATCAGTCAAAAAAATAAACTATCAATGTTGCATATTCTATGTAGAATTATGTTCATTTTATCTCCAAGGTTCTCAATTATCAGAAGTATTTATATTCATACATTCATATGTTTTGTGCACATATAGGTAAGTATATATTCCAATAGACGCAGTTTGCATAGATAACAGTAGGTACATGGTACTTGGTACCACCCCAAAACATCAAATAAGCATGCAGTTATCAAATGTTACACAAACATTTTATCAAAAGTGTAGACACCTACACTATTTACTCCCAACAGAGATTATTTTATCATGTTTATTATACTTATGTACTGAGTTATATGAATGATTTTGAATGTTTTTTTAACATTACTTGTTAATGACTAATTGCTGCCTTTACTTGACAAGTAATTGCTTATTGGAATTTATGAATTTTTACATCATGCCATCTGCCTAGAAAGAGACTTATGAAATGTTTACCTGCTGATATGTAAGCTGATCTATCAATTGTTAGGAATAAAGTAATATTACAGAAATTATTTTACTCACTCGCTAGTTTCCTTGGTCTTCTCTACATGCTTCTTGATATCAGCCAGTGAGGAATCCAGTCTATTCAGGAACTCGTCAAAGCTTTTCTTCTCGTCTGGACTGCCTGGGGAAAAATCTCCCGTGGGCATGCCCGCAATGGATGCACGATGATTTGGCGGTGGCAACTCCGTCACACGCTCACCATTCTCGTAGAAAGGAGAATCTTTGGTGACGGGAATCAATAAGTACTCCCGTAAAAACAAACTGTCTGTTGCAAATAAACGATTCGCCCGCCTAATTTTCTCCATCTATAACAACCAAATGGCACGTTAAACACTCTTTCCGTTCAAATCCCCAAGGGTTAAACGAGATAATAACACTTTTATTGCGATGTTAGTACACTTACGGTAACACCATATTTGAGCGCGAGCCCTTGCAGGGTATCGCCTTTTGACATCACATGCTTGATATACTCTTCATTCCTTTTCATGTGGTTACAAGTACTTCCATATTTTTTAAGTGGGCGAGCTGAATCCCGAATTGAAACTCTTTCATCGAAAAGACGTTCCTCCTCCATTTTTGACGTGTGTAAATGACAGCGTCGAATAAACTGAAGTTGGCTGCAAAATAAGCAGCCACAAACAAGAGCAACGACCTTTCGTTTTGAAACTTTCTTTTTGAAATCTTAGGGATTTATAAAAAATTTCTTATTAGTCTTTATTTCTCTGCAAAGAAACAAAACAATCTTTATTTATTATAGTTGTGTTTGGGTTTAAAATATGTTTTTATGCTCAATTACAAACCATTGAGGATAGAATGTCGCCATCTATTCTCAGTTTGTTAAAACTAACAATTCAAGAAGCTTTTTTTTAGATAGATGGCAGTGAGTGCACCTAGTGAACTTATCACCGCTAGATGGGGCTATGTTACTCAAAGTTGATAAACCCGGTCCGCCTGCGTGCATGCAGAATAACCAATGGTAACTCTGGATTGTTTAGTTCATTCAATCAGAATATGTTCAGCGTTCAGTCGTTCTATTCATATTATTCATTCATTTCATTCAGTCTCACAGTGCAACCGGACGGGAGTGGTGTTGTTATGTGATTCAGAAATTAATGAAATTGAAAAACTGTTATGAACTGAAGAGAATTTTAAATTGTTTAGTGCTTAAACTTATAAATTTATATCTGATTATAGTAACAAAATATTGACAGAGTACCTAATATCTTAATTTTGTATTGTTTTTTGACAATTTATTTCATTTTTATTTATGGTTTGTGTACATACACATGTGATCAATAAAATAATCCCGACATTTCTTCGATAAAAGTGGTATGTATGAATGAAAGTGTTATTCTTTACGTATTTAATGAACTTAAAATGTGATATTTTGTCGTTTGGATAGTGGAGAGCTTGTTTTCCCCTGTTGGGCGCACACCGCCCCATTGCGAAAAATATTTTATTGCGAGGGTTGGTCGCTTGCGCTCCGTACACGATTATTGCTGGTGGGGGTTCAGCTTTTTTAATTGTTTAATGCTGTGGGTACAGTTACCTTCAGAGTTAGTTTGTTTTTATTTACGTATTGATACGAAAGATACGTTAAGTACTAAATTGTTCATAAATACCCACATCACTGTAAAGAGATCAATTTAAATTTTTTAGATTTAGAAATTCGCGAAGCTTGTTCGTTTCTTTTCTAAAGTAGGTTAGAAATAAAGACTCTTGTTGCTAATTCAGATTCGTATTGGATTCCTGGAATAGGGTCCGTCTGTGACCTCAATAGATAACAGTGATAATCATTGTAGTTATGTATTTAGGTGCTAAAAAATCCATATTCCCTAGAATAATTCAAGGGATATGGCTTTTTATATCTTGTTTCCGAATTGATCGGTACATGTGTACCTAACTATTGTCACAATTATTTAAGTAACAGAATAATCGCTCTAATCGTCAACTAGGATTCTGACTATTAATCAAATAATTTAATTTTATTTACCTAAATAGGTATTAACTACCTCTTTTAACCTTATTCATTAAAGAAATACTAACTCAATTTTGGACGCGATTCTAAATTTTAATTAGGCAGGGAATGGGGTTTACCCTCTAGTATCCCGTACGTACATTAACGCAAATGTTAATTAATTACAATGAAGGTTGGTAGACGAACTATTAGACATAGTCTATCCTTATTATGAGCATTTAATTCTAATGTTAACGTCTCTTATGTTAGAGATGTCTTAGGATATTTTGCAATCGGAGACAATATTCAGTAAATCGATATTTTTTTTATACCTTAGATTTTTAGGTAAATCTATTCTTGGAATAAATCCCGAAGTCAATAACCGATTTAAAACCAAAGCGTTTCATCGACCTTATTTGGTAAAAAATCAGTAGAACGAATGTTAAAATTATAATAGGTAATAAATAATAAATAATCGGTTCATTAATAACAAAAAAGACAAGGGGATTTAAAAAAAACAAATACATTGCCGATGCGTAAAAATCTCATAGAACACACATGCATAAAAAAAACATTAGCTCTAAAATCTTCAAAAAAGGTCATGAACCCCGCACTCATGCACCCTTGCACCAATAACACAAAAATATCAAATTCCTATCAGTTGACTCACGGCCGAATGTCCCTACGGGCTATTTAAAAGAGCGTTATTAAAAAAAATGCATTGTGTAAGAAAAAAAAAGTGCGCGTGAGTTTCTGAGTCAGTGTAGACGGAACCAGTTCAAAATGAGTAAATCTCTCAAGATCTTGTGTGTCATTATCATGTGAGTCATCGCACTAGTATCCGACCTCCGAGGGAACTCCTATCTTTAATCTGTGGATTAGTATGTAATGAACTGTCATTATCTGTGGATTTTGTTATATTTAGATGCATGTTTGCTAAGCAGGAAATATAGCCGCAATATTCATTAGTATAGTATTGTTTTCTGCATTTATAATTCAAAATACAACGTTAATTAAAATACCGCTAATAAAATAACTATCGAATAAACAATATCCAATGTTAGGAAAATCATAGTAGGTACCTAATTGTCACATAATAATTATGTAGTTCGCGGTAAATACCTACTAGAATAACGTAAGTTTATACTAGATAATGCCAACGTAATGCTGATAAATGAGCGGCATTCATTCACTTAAACAAATGCACACATCGACAGAACACATCCGATCTAGGCATCAGGTGTATAGTTATTAATAACTTCAATTAATATAAACCCGCTTGCTTATGGAATTAATAGGTACAATTTTGCACCTTGTCACACGAACAGCTGACTAACATGATTACACTGCGTCATTTTTTACCGCTGTAATACAATACTGCGTGAGACGTATATTTAATAATCCCTCACGGTTTTCTACTAAGAAACTGTTTGATGAAATAAGCTCGTAAACTGAACAACGAACCACTCATTCGTAAAATCCTACTAATTCAACAAACGAGGCACCTGACTCGGAAACTATTTAACCGTAAAAGGCGTAAAAGTGCCGTTAGGAACGGACGACTATGGACTAAACTATTTTGTTCAATCAATGACGCAATGTATGTCTTTATTTGTAGGCAAAACGACGCCAAACCTGTCCCATGTCGATTGTGGGTACGAGTCGCCAATACTACGAATATTTCGACCGAATGCGGGTCAGGCTCCTAAGGCAACTGGGTCGATGTCGTCATAACGCCGGTACCTCGTGTACGCTGATGATGCGTCAGGCCATTCACGGATCTTTCGCTCGGTTTCCGAGAAAGATATTATTGAATGGCCGGAGTCCGGGGTGTTACGTTACTACGCCTTGATTGTCGTGTATAAGACATTTAAAAGACTCTGAGTTGAAAGGAGGGTAATGTTCTTACAAATTACCGTGAAACTGGGATGGTAACGTGGAACATACTTGTTAGATCCGAGTTAATCGACAGCGTCGCTGATAAACAAATTATTTACACTAATTCTGTGTCTGTCGCTTAGTGATAGCCTCAATCTTATTGGGAAAAATACTTGTCAAAAGAATTAGGTAGGTACACAATTTGGTCATAGGGATAAACCATTGCATTTTATCTTCAAGTAAAGTTATTGAAATGGTGAATATGAAACAGATTTCTGTTTGTACCTACTGAATAACTGATTAACATAGCTTAATAACGTTGTGGTTATACAATAAAAAGTAACTTGGCGTGACTGGAATTATGAAAAATAAATAAAAATTTCAACTCTAAAACTTATTATTGCTACTTCAAGACTTCAAACTCCAGTGGACAAACTATAAACTTTAATAAGACATGGTGAAACTAAACTCATTCAACTGCAGCACCCAGCCCATTTAAAAAACATAAAAAGGATTCTAAAGAAATATTATTTAAAAAATTACGAATAAGGAAGTAACTTGGGGGTGGTAACTTTATGGAACGTATTCAAAATTGGAATCAAAGATGGCCGAATATTAGTCTAAATATGATAATACAGGATAATACATAAAATGTGGCTTCTATCCTCCGACGTTTTACTATTAACAAACATGTGTGTATAAGGCAGCTGCTATAAATTTAACGCGTGTCTAATTCAGAAAGAAATTAGATTCCATCAATCAATACTCGATTTAACAGCTTAGGCTTAGCAAAGTATCGTGCTCAATGTATTGTAATCCGCCTCGGTTGATTACATCCAACACGTATAGCACCTTCATGAAGCTTCGATGCCGATCATTAAACATTAAAGTCTGTTAAATATTTTCTCTTTGTTTTTATTGTTACTTGAAATCTAGCTGCTTTTTAGGATTGTACAAAACTTTGAGTTCCAACCTACTTAGCAATACATCCGAGAAATAGATTTTTAATAGTAAAGAAAGATATATTTTTGATTCCATTACTTACGCCCTAAATACTAGTATCTGTAAATTGCAAATGGCTGCGTTCCATTCGAACTGAAATGCCATGTCAAAATTCACGACAGCTGGCGCTCCGCAAACCAGAAATTCTCATCATTATTAATAAATCTTCTTATTTTGAAGTAAGATTCGTTCTAGTTTCGCTGTCGACTGTCATGACATTGCTGAGTAAGATGAAGCCAAACTAAAAGAAAAAAGATTAATCCAACTTTTGTACTCAGCTAGCCTGTATAAATCTTTTGATTAAAGTATATTTTCGCGTCGCCGTAGTCGCGACTCTTCCAACTTTAGTCCTTTCAACTTTTGCAGTTTTATTCGTGCTTTCACTATTATATTATATTTTTATTTTCTGAAACGTTCGCTACCAAAACATATTGATGTACTCATATCTGGAGTGAGTGCAGACCATCCTAAAAATAGCCACAAGTTTTCGTCACTTAGTTAATGTAAAACATGTAAAATGAAAAACAAACACGTTCGGAACAAAGACGGATATGGGGAAAAATAAACGATTTTTAAAAGCATTTTCTTATTTATGTAACACCGGCTTAAAAGGTTTACGTTTGACATCTTAATTACTGGGGTTACAGTTTGAATAAAGGCGTGGTTATTAAACAAAAAATTTAGATCATATATTTAGTTAGTTCAATAGGATATTATGTACTAGCTTTTCGTTTTTTCAACGCAGTCAGTCTTCAGATTTTAATCTTATCGTCCCTAGTGGTTGTTTCTCG